CCCCTATTTTGGTGTGGCTTGTTTTCAGGTCTTGGATTTCAAGGTAAAACTAAGGGAAATCCCGCAACCTCGAAGATGGTGACTTGGATGACTAAATGCTGACGGCCAACATCCGTGATTCTGCTCCTCTTCCTTCTTAGGCTTTTGCCTTATCTTTAAACCAGGACTGGCCTCTGAGAAGCAGGCCACCCGGCCACCGGGCTGCTCTCCCCACAGCTGCTGAGATTCAGCTGGAACAGTTGATATTCTGGGGCAATTGCAGCTGTGCAGGGGTTAAATTTAACCCTGGCTGTTGAGGGGCCCCCTTGGCTGCTCAGGCAGCTGGAAACGACGGTGGAGGTGAATGTAGCATCCAGGAGGCAGAAATAGCCTTGCACAGCGACCCTAAATCACAGGGTGACCGCCTTCCATGCGAGCGCACATAGGATCGCACCGCTAAGTGATGTGTGATTTGAGGCGGGCGCAAGGTGAAAAAGCAGCATCAATCCTCATGCTGAACATGAGAGGATGTGGCTCCGGCTTTAAAGAAAGAGACCGTGGCCACCGCCGCTGGGGCTCGCCAGCCCCAGCCGAGCATGTGCTAAGCGCGGCGAGCCATATGCAGGATGCCTTGGGGATCCCTGCCTGGGGCTCCTGTGCTCACTTCTAGCTTTTCCATTTCCCAGGCCCCCAAATCTAGGCCACTCAATATGCATATTTTGCAAAAGTGATTACTGATTATGCAAATCAGGAACATTCCTGGAGTGTTTCCTACCAATTAGTTTGCCCTGCTCCTGGCAAGAACCTCCAACAGTTGGGCAAGCGATAAGAGGGCCTTATCGGACCACTTGCTCGCTCCCCGTGGTGAAGTGGGGCCAGAGTGCACGGGTGCAACGCCAGCGCTTTCGTCTCAGTGGGGAGGTCGCCTGTCCTGTCCTGGCCCCGAGGCTTCCCCGTCCCTCTGAATGCCGCTGCCAGCGCCAGAGTGCGGCTGCACGGACGGCTTTCCCCAGCAACTGGTTCATGTTGCGAGCTACCCTTTGAAAAGACGGTGCAGGCTCATTAACCTTGCAAAAGGCATGCGTAATACACCGATAATGTGTGAGAAAGGTGGATCGACACAGGGGGCTGCTTTTGGGGACCCTTCTTGAGGTCACAGCTCCAGGGGCTGTCCCGGAGAGGGTCTCCATTTCAAAATGTTCCAGGGCACCACTTCGTGTGCCTGGAAAGTGTCCTATTTCTCGATTTTATTTGTTGAGACTGCAGCCAGACAGTTGTACGGGGCTTCAGCTATTGGCAATAATTAATCATGGTTAATTGATTAAAAATGATGCAGCAGGGAGACTGCTATGTCCCACTGGCTGGTGTATTCCAACTGGCTCTGCCCACTGGACACAGCCCCCCCCCCCGTCCTTGGTAAGCCAGTGTCCCCCCCTGTTTCGGTCCCTAACGTTGCCCATTGGTGACACTGCCTGAACTACTCCTGTGTAAGTCGTTGGAGCTGTCACGTTTTGGCTCCCTCCCTGCAGTATCTAAAAATGACTTTTGTGACTCTGCATGTGAGTTCATTTTTATTTTTGCCCAGCACATGGAGGCATGTGTGAAGAAGCTTATAAGGAGGTGAAAAGCTGACAGATTTTCTCAGCTTGGCTCTGCGAATTCTGTTTGAGCAGCCCCAGGGTGACGGCGGCCTGATCCAGGCAAGCAGGCCCAACAAACAGCCCTCTGATTTTAGAAGGGGATGTGATTTGCATCATTTCTTTTTCAAAGAACCTAAGAACCTTTTCCAAAATTTGAACCTCAGTTCTGCAATTTGCACAAATTTGCACAAGATGAGCAAGAGGTATGCCGGTGCAAAGACAGTTTTGTACAGTGGTTAGACTGCTGGACTGTGACTCAGGGGATCTGGGATCTCGTCTCCACTTGATTATGATGCGCACTGGGTGCCTCTGGGCCAGTGATGGACTCTCAGACTAGCCTACCTCACAGGGTTGCTGTCTGGAGAAAAAGGAACTATGTAAGCTATTGCACAATGAAATGGATAATCCCCAGTAGCCTATCTTGCACTCAGAGAACAAACCCCAAACACCCTTCAGCTCAGGACACAGGCCAGGTTGTAGGGGGAGAAAGCAGGAACCAGAGAACCTTGGCATATGGAAAAGTCTATCACACATCAGACCCGCATGAGGGACACTGGAGAACCCAAAACTGATTCAAATTTGGTTGGATTTCTGTGAATCGGACCTGTGGGTTTTTAGAAAGTTGAGCCTTTTCTAGGCCATGAGGATTCTGCAGACTTATGGATCACTTTTTCACTTTTAGGGATGGGGGATTAGCAAAATGTGCCCAAACTAACTCAGATACAAGCAATTGCACACTAGCACGGATATCTTGTGGTTGTGAGCCACCCAGAAGTGCTGTGGCACAATTGGGCAACACACAAATGTTTTAAATAAATGAATGAATGGATGAAGTGGATTGAAAATAAAATAATCCATGAGCCGGTGTCAGAACGAAAGAACCAAAATTCTGTGAAGCACAGGCAGGATTGAGATACCAGCATCGGAATATTCTGCCTGCATGTGTGCACTCTGTCTGGGGTTTCATAAAATCAGAGAATAGTACCGTGGGCCTTGGAGTATAACTCCTGGCTCGATGTGGGGCTCCCACTTAAGCCATCTCTCACAGATGCCTGGCCAACAGCCTCTGGAACGGCTCCAGTGCGGAAGAGCCCATCACCTCCCTGGATCATGGGTTCGGCTGTCTCTGCTCTAACACTCAGGAAGTTTTTCCTGGTGTCCAGCCAGAATCGGGCTTCCTGAAACTTAAGCTCGTTATAGTGCGATTTGTACAAAACATGCCCCTTTCCCCAAACCCAATTTGCCAAATTACGATTTCAGGGCGATTGGCTCGTTCTGCCCAAATCACTGTAGAGCCATGTGGTTTTAGGCATTCATTCCGTCAGGAAATATTGGAATCACGGACCAGGAAAATGTATGTTTAGATTCACAGGAAGCTGCTATGCTCAGTCCCCTTTGGCAGAAAACCCAGGTACCCCTCTCTGAAAAACCCAATAGCGCTGGTCCAGTTGCCAGTACACCAACCTTACAAGCTTCCAGAGCATATGCAGTGTTTTTACAAGTTTTTACCGGGTTTTGTGTCACGTACACAGTTTCAGGGCAGTGAGTTACAGAATTCTCACAGGTTCCAAAGTTTTGATTTTTACAATCAGAGATATTTATTTGTTTATCTGGGATATTTCTAACCCGTCCAATCACTATGCGTCTCTGCACGGCTTACAAACAAATTCAATAAAAACAACAATATAAAAGATCATAAATACCCCAAACAATAATAAGACTAATAACCCATGACTGAAGTAAAACATAATTAAAATCTTTTAAACGTTAAAATACTGGGTGAATAAAAAGGGCTTGACCTGGCACTGAAAAGCATATAATGATCGCGCCAGTTGGACCTCTCTAGGGAGAGCATTCCATAGCCGGGGCACCACCACAGAGAAGGCCCTCCTCCGGGTATTCCTCCGGAAGATACAAAGTTCCTTAAGACAAAGCATGAGCTGGCTAATTATTTTTAGATGGCAAAGAAAGCACAATTGCCCCAATCAACTTGCAACATTGTTTTAACACTGTTTGGGCTAAGAGCTTGCCTGAGAAGGGGTAGATTGTTCTCATGCTTGGATGTTTTCCTTTCCCGGAGAAGGAATTAGAAAGCAACAACCCTGCCAATAGGGAGGGGGAGAGGACCTGCGAGGTGCTCCATATGTTAATGTTTAGAATTTATAATTTTAATGAGGGCTACTCCAACAATACGTTGTATTACATAGCCTCTGACATGTATGAATTGCTTTGCAAGAAAATACTTTTCCCAGTCGTATGGAGCTGAGCAAAAAGTTCTAACCCCTTTGAGTGGAGAGGAGCAAGGGCTCTGGTCTTGCACTAAAGGACATGCAAAAGCATATTGTTTTACTCGAGGATTTATTTGGGCTTTCCCAACTATTCACACAAATGTCTTTAGTGGGTGAAAAGAGGTGCAGAAACAGCATTCTGTCTTAAAGGTAGAAGCTTGTGAAATACCCCTGGCTTGGCTACTACTAATCATAGGATCAAAAGGATCAAATACACAATCATATTGTGTATTTTATTCTATGTTGTGAGCCGTCCCGAGGCTTCGGCAGGGGGCGGCATAGAAATGTTTTAATAAATAAATAAAATAAAAAGAAGGAAATAAATTTATGGAACATGAATGAGCCAGATTTTCCTGTTTTAGTCCTGCGAAAGAAGCATCAGAAAAAGGGAGTAACCTAGTGTTGCACAAAACTGGCAGATAGTAATTTAGATGGAAATTTAACATACCTATTATAATGTCAATAGAAAGATGGTGTCTTTCCCCCTCTGGTGGGAGACTGACCAGGTAATCTGTGCACCTTTTTCTGTTTGCTGTCCAGGTGCTGATTGGCACCTGCTGACTGGCAACTTCAAGGCCCTTCTAAGGTTCTCGACCTTGGACTTGACTGTCCTCCCCACCAAGGACAGGCCTCTGGGTTGCAGCTTTCCACACCATGGCGAGAAGCTCTGCATTTCTGTTTAAGACCTCACTTCCAATAGGCCTTCCGAGATCAATTGCATGCTTGTTTTAAGCCAACATTTTAATTATTATTGGTTTCAATCTCTTGTAAACCACCCAGAGCCTGTTGCAATGGGGCGGCATATAAAAATCAAAAGAAAATGGAATACTTATTTCTATATGTTTGCAAATGTGAGATAATTTTGCAGGTGTAGTTTTCACCCAGATAGCTGCCCTTTTTTGACCTTGGTTTGGGTGAAGGGTGTCCCAAGACTCAGAAGTCCTGAGATGCTTCAAGAAGGCTGCGTGTACATTGGTCCTTGGCTGGAGTTTGGGTGGGCAGCCCTTGGTTGACCCTGCTGCCCTCCAACCCCGACCTGTGCAGCCCCAGGAGGGCTTCCCCTGAAAGAGAGAGAGAGAGAGAGAGAGAGAGAGAGAGAGAGAGAGAGAGAGAGAGAGTAGGCCATTTCGATGCTCATTCACAGGCAGCTTTTGTTAAATTTATAAATTTCCCCAATTTATAGAGAACCGGAGCGTCATAAAGGATACAGCTAGAGAGGAAAACTCATTGGTTCATTGCCTGTTTGTAGGTGGCTCATGATCACACTTCTGTTCTGATGGTTTTGTGCTGTTGCTTTTATTCACATTTGATTAAGAACCAGTCCTTCATAAACGTGTTTTTTAAACCTAAATGCTCTGTTTTGTTCTACGGATGCTTTTAAGGTTTTTTAATGCTTCTCCTATTCTAAATTATATATTTCATTGGATTATTGTTCTTAAATGTTGTAAGCTGCCTATCTTTTAATATAGAGAGGCAGAATATAAATTATAGATAGGGAGAAATTTAGATAGATAGATAGATAGGTACACTGCATACATACATACATACATACATACGGCAATTACAGCCTATTCCTACTGAGTCTAATGGGTTTTGGCATAGATCGTTTTTAAAAGACAGTATCAAGGCAGTGGCAAAGATATTTTTCTTGCCTGCCGCCATTAAGTCTCAAAAACACTATGCGGGAGATTATTTATTTTCTATACTTTTCTATTCATTTTTTTAGCAGTACGATTTAACGAACAGCTTTCAACAGAGTTCCCTCTCTGCTGCCGCCATGTTGTGCCCGTAAAGAAACCCCAAACTGGGGAGGGGTGGGGGGCAGCCTCCCCACCCCCTAACATCAACTGCTTTCTCTGTAACTGGCAGCAAGCTGGAAGCTGCCAGGAGCTCAGCAAACATGCCGGCCACACGCCGACTTCAAGCTGGACAGTCCAGAGGCGGAGCGCTGCAGAGCCGAGAAAGGCCAGAGTTCAGGACCTCTCCTTTGTATATTCATTTACTTGTCAGCTTGGCTTGCGCTTTGGGGACAACTGGAATGCCCTCCGTGAGAAAGCACAGCACAAGGCTGGAAAGGCGTCTGCGACTGTCAAGCCTGATCCCGCGTCAAACCCTTTCCTCCAGTTGGCACTTAATTGGCACTTTGCTTAATGTCCAGATTTTTTAAAAAGTTACTATTCCTTATGGCTGTGAAAGTCTTGTTACGCATTGTGTACTTTCCTGGAATGTGGTGTTTTCCTGGGATCATTTCCCTTTGGAAGGGAGATCATGGGAGACTTAGGGTATTTCTGGTAATGTCTGAGTTTGTTGCAGACAAGCAGGCAGAGAATAGGTGGGGGCGTAGAGCTTAACCCCCCCCGGGAGAACCAGGGCGTGGGTGGCTGACAGGGGCAGGCAGGATGCTGAGCTCCATAGCTTAGCAAGGCTAGAGGCTGGCAGCACGTCAATGGCCCCGGGCTGGAGATGAAGCAACAGGCCATCTGATATTGTCCCAGGGGGAAAGCACTGTCCAGAGACACACCAGCGGTCAAGAGTCGGGGGAGGAGTTGCATAAAGGTGCCCAGGGGGAGAAGAGGCCACAAGGATCGGCAAGAGTGCGCTGGGGCAAAGCAGGAACAGACTGGAACAAGCGGTGGCAAGCGGGAGCAGTGGCCCAGGGAGGCCTTTTAAGCTGGCTTCCAGGGACCCAGCTGCATCAGAGGATTGCCCCCGCAAGTGCCTGCAAAGGAGTTCTCGGTCCTGAGGACACTTGCCTGGACTAGGGCCCTGATCCTGACCCCCCTAAGGATCTGAGGAACTCAAGACGAGCCATCGGGCCAATGGTCCATCCAGATCAACACTCCTGAACCCTCAGAAGAAAGGCTCTCCCAGAAGATGCTTTCCAGAGCTCAGCCTCCTCTCCCGTTCTTCTTGCTGACATCGGCCATGACCGGGGGCTAGGGGGAGAACAAACAGTCCTCTGCTCTGTAGGGTTTCCTGGCCCCACCTGTGCCCTTTACCTGCAATTGGAGTAATAGCAGGTGTGTCTGTTTGCCACTGGCTATTCAATACATTTCATGCAGTCCTTCTGGCCCATTAACTCTCTCCTCTTCAAACCCCAGGCTCACAACAATATAGGGCTATTGTAGAAATCGGCAACGGATTCCAGGGAGTCTGGATTTCTTTGAATCTGCCTTCTAGATTCTGCACTTGAGCAACTGTGGCCACGTTATGGATGTTCAGCACACTCGTGGACTTCTTCTTAAAATGTATTTAGTCTTGTGGGGGATTTGCACAAATGCATATTTCTCTATAGGAAGGAACCTAAAAAAAATTCAGATCTGTCAATGAGCGGGCAGTGATATGAAAGACACTGGATGATCCATGAAACAGATGGAACAAATTCAGCAAAATCTGTCCATTCTTACGGAAACGTGCCATGAAAATATGTAGGCAATGCCACTAAAGACTGCTGGTTGACAGTCATGCAAAGATTTGCTGTGTTTAAACGCCTTTGTTCTTTCCTTTTTCTTTCTTTTCGACCTTGGCATGCCTTATTCTATCATCATTCTGGAAAGCTTAAAATAAACAAAACAAAACAAAAAAAGAAAGAAAAAAGAAAAGAAAAGAAAAGAAAAACAAAAAACACCCAACTCATGTTGCATAGAACACAAAACCATACAATCAAAAGCAGCAAAAAATGGGATGATCTAAAAAAAAAGATCCTAAAAATCTGATTTTTTTAGGGTCTACAAATATTAGACCCTAAGTCTGAGAGTCCCAGATTACATAATTTATATGACCGTTGTATGGGAACAGAAAAATCTTTGCTCGGGGCAGAAAAGTCTGCCAGGGAAGTGCTGGGAAAACCTTCCTGGGAAAGTTGGCCCATCAGTGGGAAGCCACTACCAAAAAGGCCCTCTCTCTAGTATGGAGCGGCCCCCTTCGTTCAGCAGCAGGACTTGGCACAGGGCTTCTCCAGAGCAACTTACGGCTCAGGGCACGTGTTTTGATTCCTCGCATGGCTCCCTTGCCCTCCGTATGTAAGGAATTCAGGGCGTGGGTATTTCTTGGCTCCCTAAGGAGACCAGGCAGCCGTGTTGATTCTTGCCCGCTGCCCCCCATCAGCACCTTGGCTCTGTCTTGTCCCCTGCCTCAGGGAGACCTGCTTTGGTCCGGAGAGTGAATGGGGCCAGGAAATGCATCCCCTTCTCTTCAGGCTTAGGGCAGGGTATGGAGGGCTTGGGTAGATCACAGTAAAAGATGCAAACCCACGGCAACCAGGTGGCGCCGCTTATAATGCTGCTGAACACAGCCATAGTCTCAATTTACGAGATTTTATGAGACATTAAGGGCACGCACCTGTCCATGTTTGGAAAGAAAAACGCCCGTCCTGGCACAGTTCTGCCTGGGCCTGCTGAGGCAGGGACTGCGCTCTGGATGCGGGGCCACAGCAGTGAGGCCAGGCCTCCTTTCCGACCTTGGACCCAGGAATCCGAGGATCCTTGGCCCTCCACGACACTGTTCAGGGGCCATAGGATGGCTCTATTACACCATCTCGGATGCTCTTATCTGCATCGTCTGGCAGGTTCGTAGCACTTCTTGCTTCACAACGAGCCCCATGGCAATCTCGTGTGCATTTCCGGTATCACAACTTCCTTTTTCTTGACACTGTTAAGAAAAAAAAAGGCAGAGGGGCTACACAATATCTTCAGTCTGTTAGCACTAGGACCACTCTATCTGGAAGCACTCTATAACTTTATCATCTCCAGAAGGAGGACCAGAGAGGCTGGCAGTAACCCTGGACAGGATAACTTTTTGCTAGGAACAATGATACGCTGCAACCATTCGTTGCAGCTTTCTTTCTTAATATTTGAATCTCTCTCTGCTGGTTGTTGCCAAGCCATTTTGGTGCTCTGTTAGGGCCACAGTCCTGTTATATATATGAATAAACCGGAAAGGGAAATGGAAAGAGTTGGTCCCTGCCTGGAAGCGGACAGCAGTCTTGCCTCTGAAGAGCCCGCATCATTGTCAGAAAAAGAAACGAGCCACGCCACGCTCCTTCCCTCCCGCTGCGCTGCACGAGGGTCATTAGAGTGGCTGCATCTCCACGGTACAGCTGGGGACATCAGCGAGCCCTCGATAGGATCACCATTAAATAAAGGAGGCCTGCGTCGGCATCTCCCGTTTAGCAGCGCGCAACTCGCACTATCGCATGGTGCGATAAACGCATTGCCATGTCCTGCCAGGTCTGACAGATTTCCTTCTCTTGCTTCAGGCAGATGTATAAATAAACTGAGCTGATAATCGGCCACGAGAGCAGAGAGCTGGTAATAAACCCTCGGCAGATTCCGCCAGGGACGGTGTGCCAGCAGTGGAAGCACCGTGCTTACGAATTCCGCAAAATCAGATAGTGCTGGGGGTGATGAGAGAACTTGGCCTGGCCCTGGAATCCATTTCAGAAGGGCTTGGCTCGGCCGGGCAGGGGTTCTCCTGGCAGCATGGTCAGCCACATGGGGAGAGGGAGGCTGGAGGGAGCCGGGCGGCACCGCATCCTAGGCCTGGCTTGAAGAAGGTCCTCCACAAGGACCCTGCTTCTCACTCATGAATCGCACTGGGTGGGAGTGCCCCAGGTGAGTTTGTCTACGGACCCACAGAGCCCCATAGGCGTCTGCATGAGTTTGGTCCAGAGTTCTCCTGTAAAGCGCGATCTGCCCCATGTTGCTCTTCTGTGAATTAACAGTGGTGAACTGCAACTTGAGAGCTGTGCTTTCACATCAAAAAGAAACTGGGCGGCCCTCTGAGTGGGGTGGTGTGACTTAGTGTCCTGCAACAGCAGTGGGTGGGCTCAGTGGCCTTCACGGCCCCCTCCAGCTCTGCTATTCTGTGGTCAGGTAGCAAAGTCTGATGCAGTTCATCTTCCCAGCATGTAAAGCCTTCTAGTTTTGCTTGTTCACATGTGCGTGATGTGATACTCATTACGAGGCATGCAAAGAACCGGCTGCAGTTCAGCTCTCTTGCACTTGCTGGATTCTTTCCTACCCTCAGCGCAAGCCAGGAAGCAAACTAAGTTTTTATTTTATTTATTTAGGAAGCTTCTATGCCTCCCCATTCACCGAAGCCTCGGGGTGGCTCACAACAAAGTTGAGATCAAGTCCGAGAATGTTTGGAAACTTTAGTTTTCTTTGCACAAAATATGCAAAGTGTGTAATTCTCTGTGCAAAGTAAACAAAGCCTGCAATTTACGTGTGTGGAAGCACAATTCTGCTCACACAGCCAGTGGGTGTGTGCAAGCCAGAACCACAGATTACTTGGAATTGCTTCTTGCAGGGCTCCCACACAAATACCCAGTACAAGGCAGATGTAAGTCAGAGAGAAAACCTGAGAAGCCAAACTGTGGAAATCTGATTGATTCCCACCCTCAAACTGGATCGCTCACACATCTCACACTCCGTACAAGCCTGGACAACTCATTCTGTCTGAGCAAAATGGGCTTCTGAGACATTTCAACCCCAAAGGTCAAAAGTGGGCTGAGCTGGAGGAGTGGGCTTCCACAAAATTCCTCAAAACATCTGCACAAATTTGGAGCAGTCAGTTGTACAACTCTGCTGCAATTTGCACAAATTGGGGCTGACTTGTTAGATTTAAGTTGCATTGAATGCAGGACGTATGGAAGCTTCCTCTTTCTTCACATGCACTCATTCCACTGTTTTTTTGACATTTTTGATGGTTTCAGTTTTGGACAGATTCTTTTGAACAGTTTCCGATTGGCATCCACTCCAGACTTCCGCTCTGCAATTTGTGCAAAAGTTTTTTAAAAAATTAAAACATATGCACAAAGAGACATACACAAGAAAATTAACTTAAAACAACAAAACCACATAACGATTGCACATGAATGAACATGGAAGTATAGTGGTGGAATAAAATATTAAACAATGGAGTTTAAAAGTTGAACTGTTAAAATTCTGGGAGGATAAAAAGATCTTCACCTGGTGCCAGAAAGAATAAAAAGCAGGCAGCAGGCACACCTCTCTGGGGAGCTCGTTCCACAATGGAGGTGCCACAGCTGAAAAGGCCCCTCTTAACTCGCTTCATTTCCTTTGGAAGGGGCTTCCAGAGAAGGATCTCCCAAAGATGACCTGAGAGTCCGGGTAGGTATATACGGGATGAGGCGTTCCTTCAGACAGCCTGGCCCCATGCTGGCTAGGGCTTTGTATGTTAGTACGCGCACTTTGAATTGGGGCCGGACCTCAACTGGCTGCCCCCCAGTTATATGATGAGATCCTCCTACTTGAGGGGCACCATGTTGAAGGCAAGAACTGCTGTCTGAATGGTGGAGCAAAGCATGCAAAATCCTGGTCCGAGAGAGAGGGAAGGAGACCCCATGCACACTCAATGGGCCAGCTGTAAGCATGAAAAGCTCTTGTGCCTCCGTATTCCCTTGCAGTGGCACAGCATCATGGGGCCCGGGGTCTTTAATGCAGGGGTGGGGGATCTTTTTCTGTCAAGGGTCAGGTTGCCGTTTCAGTACCTGTCAGGACACGTTCTCTCTCTTGTACCTCCCTGGGCTAAAAGGCCCTTCCCCAGGTCTCCCACCCACAATGAACATCTTTCGTGTGGGCCCCGTTGACCATGGAATGCTCTCTTAAGTGCGGCCAACCTCACGCCCTCCTTTGAGTGCCGGGCTGCGCCCTTTTATTCTCACTGCCCTCTTTAGGTTTTATTTTACTCTTTCATGTTAGGCCTTGTGGCATTCTCACTGGTTTGCGCTCCTGTAACTTGTGGTTGTGTCAGCACTTGCGATTCCCGTTTTCATTGCATTGTGCTGGGAGCAGTGAATTTGCATTTGCATTTGGGTAGAGACCTGTTCTCCCCTGCAGAGGAAGGCAGGATGCGCTCAAATGGAGCCAAGCTCAGGGAACCAAGGTTCAAGTTGGATGCCAGGAAGCACTTCCTGATGGCTGGGACCCCGAGGGTGTGGACTGGGCTTCCACGGGAGGTCGTTGAGGCCCCATTGGTGTGGGTGTTCAAGGACAGGCTGGACATGCGCATGGTAGGTATGCCATGAGTGGAGCCGGCTGGTGCCGGAGGTCAGACTAGATGGCCCAGGAGACCCCTTCTGACTCGCTCTGTTTCTATGTGTCTCCCGGGCTGAATGCCTGGATAGGCTTTGCTGGATTTTTATTGTTGTGCTTTAACTGACCTTGCACGATACAACTCTAGATAAGAACTATGTCCACCAGTCTGACAAGCAGCCCTGCATGGTTCCCATGGTCCATTGTTTCTTACCATGATCTGCCCAAGAGGCCATCAAGTGGCTTCTGCTTTATCATAGCTCGATCCTCCCTGTGTATTCCTCCCACTGTTGGCGCATATCCCATCAACCCCTATGCCTGAAACTCATTCCCAAGGTGCATTGCTTCCTGCCTATGTGTCCTCCCTCTTTCTCGTTGGTCCTCACATAGAGCTGCATAGATGCAGAGTAGCTTTTGCAGTTGCCTCTCTTTTCAGGGGGCTCTGTGGTTATTCCATACCATGACCATGGAAACCACGATCCTGGGTTCAGACCACATGGAAGCCATGGTGGCACAGAGAGACTGTAGAACAAACTGTGCTTTCTTATCATGGTTTTTAAAGACCAGACTTACCACGGTGAAATACCATGACTGGGTTCAGACAACCTGGCAAGCCACGGTGGCACAGAGAGACTGCAGAACCAACTGTGGTTTCTTATCATGGTTTTTTAAAGACCAGACTTACCATGGTGAAATACCACGACTGGGTTACATAGAAACATAGAAATATAGAAACAGAGCGAGTCAGAAGGGGTCTCCCGGGCCATCTAGTCTGACCTCTGGCACCAGCCGGCTCCGCTCATGACATGCCCACCATGTGCATGTCCAGCCTATCCTTGAACACCTGCACCAATGGGGCCTCAGCCACCTCCCATGGAAGCCCATTCCACACCCTCGGGTTCCTGACTGTCAGGAAGTGCTTCCTGGCATCCAAATTCAACCTTGGTTCTCTGAGCTTTGCTCCGTTGGAGCGCGTCCTGCCTTCCTCTGCAGGGGAGAAAAGGTCTCTGCCCACCTCCGTGTGACACCCCCTCACATGCCTGTGTGTCGCCAACATATCCCCTCCGAGTCTCCTCTTCTCCAGGCTGAAGAGACCCAGTTCCCTCAGTCTCGCCTCAAACCCCATCCCCTGCAAACCGGCCACCAACCTTGTGGCCCTTCGCTGCTCTGACTCCAACCTGGCCATATTCTTCCTGTAACGAGGGGCCCAAAACTGAGCACAATACTCCAGTTGCGGGCACACCAGAGTTGTGTAGAGTGGTAGTAATACTTCTCTTGATCTAGAAGCCACATTTCTGGCTATGCAGCCAAGGGTTCAGACAACACAGCAGGCCAACACTAGTAAAAACACCACGGCTCTCTGGGTTTTGCGAACACAGCCACTGTGTTTTGTTAGAAGGTCACTAGCTGGAAATAGCAGCTATACAATGAAATGCCATAACGCTTTTGCCACTGCTGGAGATGTGACCACTTTCGGAAAATTCCCGCACTGTTCCCCAGAGGCCAAGCCACACAGAGCCAGAAATAGCATTCCCTGCAAACTTGCCACTTAGAAGCGCAGATTGCCCTGCAGGTTGGTGGGCCAGGCTGCTG